GGTGAGGGGCGGGACGTTTAGACGCGCACTAGAGGCGGTTTAGCCAATCACAACACACTGGGCTAGCTAACCAATCAGAGCCCATCGCCTATTTCTGAGGGCGGGGCTTCATAAAAACAGGAAAAGATCAGCCCGTTTCTCAGAGAAGGGACAGAACGGTGTGGAATAAAGGTAAATTATGTGAAAAATAATGTGTTTTTTAAAAAACTAAGCAGTAACACGTTAGACTGCACCCCATAAACACAATCAAGCCTAGAAAAAAAACCACCCCTTTAATTTCTGTATAGTTTTATTTATTTTTATTTATTACTTTTAGTTTATTTAGTTTTAGTTATTTTAATAGTTAAACTAATTGAAAATGAGAAATCTTGGCAACTATATGTATTTTTTTTTCTGTTAACGTTTATTTTGTTTCAAGTAACACATTTTTTTTTTTTATAGTTTTAGTTAACGATAATAATCCTGTATCAAATGAAACCCCGTTTTTAAGAGTTACCATAGTTTAAACATTCCATAAAATTATAGTAATGTTGTGTTTGTTAATAGTGTAAGATGGTGTTCCACATGAACTGGAATATAAATCTATATTGCTCCAAAGAAAAGCACAAAGCCAGACAGTCCATCACACTCCACTGGTTCTCAGCTGTAAATTTCTTGTTTTCCAGTGATGGAGGAGAGCAGACCACAGCACAATACCAGCACCCCAGGATCCTCTCCCAGTCCTGCTGTGTGCAAGGTAATGAGAAAACAGATTCCAAGGCAACGGGCTTAACATTGACAGTGTGTGTATGTGCTGGTCTGCATGTATGTTTTGCTGAGCTCAACAGCTGCCCAGATTGTCCAGGGCTGTCCATATGTCCCCTGATTGAGCGCCGCTTTCCCGCAGCTCAGTCATCAGTAGAAAGCCCTTGAACTGGCAGAAAGAGAAAGAGCCTGTGATTGGAGATAGATGGATACTCTATACTGTGTGTCAGGACAGAGCCTTGTGCCTGACTGTGAGGTTCTCAGCTTTTTCACAGTGCGGTGTAATAGCTGATGGTTCACTGCAGCACTTCTGACGGGACTGTGATCAAGACAACAAAATAGCAGAGCTTCACAAGGACAAATAATGTTTCAAAGGCAGCGCTGTACAGATTGTAACATATACACCATCTTGTCAGAATACTATAAACCGGTGTTTCGCAAACAGTTTTGCTTCAAACTGTTTGCTTAAAGCGGCGACCCAACACCAAAATTGTTTCCAACACCAAAATTGTTTATCGTACAAATGTAAACAAAATGTCTTTAAAATCAACACTGACATGTAGTAGTATTACCACAAACTGCTTAGATCCAAAACTATTCAAAATTATTAATATGACATGGGCTGAATAGGAAAATGGCACAGATTTTTGGCTGCTATAACCAATAATTATTTGTTTTTAAGCCCATACTGATATATTGAACAACATTATATATCAGTGCCTTTTTTTTTTTGAGGACACAAAAAAAATGCTCAGTTCAGATCTCTACACGCTTGTAATGACACAAAACATCATGTAGACTGGAAAACTGAATGATTTTAATAAATATAGGCCTATTGTGAACCACTGGGATAAAGAAATTATGGCTAATGTTGTTTTTTTTCTTCACTTATTTACTTAAAATTATGCACTTATTTAACTGAAAAAGTAACTAAATCATGTCTAACTATGCATGATTGTCTATTAGTTTTAATGATTAGTGATTGTTAGTTTGTTAGTCATGACCCACCTTGAAGACTGCTGCTGTAAACTGTGGTTAGTTTTTTGAGATACAGTGTGAAGTGATTTCCTGTCTTTTTATGTCTCTAATGAAAGACAATGCTCTTTTAGCCTGATTGTATTTGAGAGTTCCCATGGACATTTGTTTAGTCATGGTTGGGTATCTCAATAGCTTATCATTTTGCTTTTTTCTGGTAATTCCCTCTGATCAGTTTTAAGCAATTAGTAAAGTTCAATCTAACCGTCCATTGTTTTCTATATTCATTGCTACACTGCAGTGCTGAAGAATGTCAGGGATTTTGCTTGTATCGAATTTGTCCAGCATGAGGTTTGATTCCTTATATAGCCAGCTGAGTTGATATGGAAATACGTGAGTGTGTTCAGGACAAATTCCTCTCTCCTTCTCTTACTTCAGAGAATGAGGTCACAGGTTTCTTCTCTGGACGTGTGGTATTTGCCATTGTGTGTAAATGGAGCATTTAGTACTGCATTTAGTGATATACTACTATTTAGTAAGTTTTGTAGGTTTTTCTATTTTATGTGCATTTGGCTGATCTGTGTTTTATTCTGTAGTTTTGAAGGGAACTGACTTTATATATTATATATAAAATCCCCATATCATGAATTGCAAAAAAGCTTAGTAAGAAATTGGATAATTTGTTTGCAGATGTTGCTTATATATATATATACAGTATGTATATATTTATACGTATATACAGTATGTGTGTGTGTGTGTGTGTGTATATGAAATATATTTAAAAGGCATAATACTATACTAACTCTAATTAATCACTAGTCACTAATTAAAATTGAAATCACTCTTATTTGCCCAACTAAAAATAAATAAATGAATAAATAAATTCTTAAACACCTTGAAAAGAAAAGGAATTTGACTTAACAATTTATTATTATTATTATTATTATTTTAAATGTTTTACCAGAACTGCTGCACAAGTACAATATATTAAAAACTTTTGCCCACAATATGAATGTCATATGATGCAAAAGACGAATCAGATGGTTCAACCAACATGCAGAAAAAAAAATAAAACAGGAAATTATATCATAAAGACATTCACCAGATTCTCATGATTGTGTGTAAAGGTCAGGAAGTTTCTTAAAATATCAGATGATTTGATTTGAAATGTCATTTGGTGTGACGCGTAAAAAAGTTAATTGTATTTATGTATTACTAATTCATAGTATTTGTTAAAAAAATGTCTCGTGAAAAATATATTTGAAAACTTTTTTATCCTTAATCACAAAATGTTATTACTTTACTTGGTCACATCGCATGACCTTTATAGCATCACTACATTGAAACTTTTATTGAAAATTATAAACTTTTTTTTTTTCAAAATCATATAAAACCAACAAACATACTAAGAGTTCATTTCAAAAACTTGTACATGTGTTTTAACAGATTTTCAGAAAATTTTTCACTTTCTTTATTGTGCACACTCTTATTTGTCATTGCCTCATATAATATTTGGACGGCACTTGACCTTATGAATCACTTGTGCACATATTGTATAGCATTTTAGTTCACATGATGGGTAAACCCATCAGTAACCTGCTCTCTTAGACCCCATGCTGGCCTTTCTCCCGTTTTCTGGAGATTGCAATACTTCCTATTCAGGATTGGAGGGACTGCCAGATGTTTCCTGGTCGCCCCCACCCTGGCTATGTGCGTAAGAGCAAGAGAGAGAGAAAGATAGAGAGAGGCAAAGGAAAGAGAAAAGTCAGGTTCACTCTCCCCCTCAGGCAACACTGTCTCTAAGGCTTCACTTTTTGAAGCTTTCCTCCTGACCGGCCACAAGCGTCTGGAGCTCACTAAACCCTCAGGACTAGCGTGACCATCTCAGCTACCTCACAGTCAGGGGCTCTCAGTCTCACCTGAGCAAAGACAGCGAGACGGGCTGTCAAACTCTCAGTGACTTTGAGAGCTCGCTGCTCGCGTGTGTTGCAGTCTCATGGCTTGGGACTGTGGCCTGAGGTATGTGTTTTCTGTGTCCCCTGCACTGCAGCAGGACCCTGGAGCTGCTACACGCGATCGAGAGGATATCAGCCGATTGGAGATGGTCCAGAGACTGGCCAAGGACGGATGCCGCCTTCTACACAGCCCGCTCAGAGCTACCGAAAGGCCTGCTGAGGTGAGGTGCAAAATAACAGTCATGTATGTGGCGATCCACATATACAGTATAATTATTGGTTGTTTCTTCAAACTTCAAAAACAGGGCTTTATTTTTCTGAACCAACAAATGTCATTTCTGACACAGTATGTTTCCAATTTGAGAATGGACATTTTAGAATAAAATACCTGGCTGATTTGTTTAGCCAAGTCTAATTTCATAGATAGCATTTTATATATCCACAAATTTAAACACACACAAATTAATAATAATAATAATCTTTATTAGTGGCTAAATTGTAGGTCCTGGTGGAAATTATGCCACAATAAATAGATTTTAAAAAAATGTAAGTAATTTTTGCATGGTAAATATCGAAATGTTTTATGTTTATTTCACTCTTTCTTTAGATTATTCCTTTTTTTAAAATAATGAAAATTATTTTTAATGGTTTTTAATATTTTAAGATTGAAAATCTGGGTCTGTGACAAGGGGAAAATAAAAATACAAAAATATATATATATATATATTATATTGCATTCAAAAAGTAGCAAAAATGAAATACAATGAAAAAATAAAACAAAATAAAATAAGGAAGATCTTGGAATATTTTTGTAAAAACTTTCTAAAATGTTAATAAAATAAACATAAACATGAATAGACATAAAATACATAAAAAACACCCTATTGTGAAAACATAATGTTATGTATGTTCAATATCGTGCATGCTGGTTTAGTCTTTTGGGCAGCATTTGACTGAGGATTTGCTGTGTGTGTATTTGTTTAGAAAAATTATTATTATAATAACCCTATTGTTGTGATTTATGAAGCAACACCCTTACATGTTGATATTATCTTTATTTAAATGAAAAGTCATTGTTTGATGTCACTTTTTTTCAGGGAATCTGTATTCAGATCTGAAGCTATAGTGCAGGAGAAACTTTCTAAAACCAAAAAGGGCACCAATCTCATGCTAGTCTCTGATTGGTTGATCCCACAATAGCCCCGGTTCGCCTCTTCCTGATAGTGGGCCGCCACTCACAATGACAGGAAGAGTTGACGTGAGCGCCATAAGGTTGCCGCAACCGGTTATTCCTCTTGCACTGGGTGGCATATTTCTTTGACCTTTCTGAAACAAAAGTAGAATTGTCCTTAATTTGAATTATAACCATCATAAGGAAATTTAATTTAAGACAAGCCACTTCTTGTCGTCATGTATTGTCATATTCAGAATACTTTGATTCAAATATTTTTTGAGTTTCAGAAAATGTCACAGTATTTGAGGCTGGGCCGCAGGAGTTTTCAGCTGTCAGGATTGGCTGGATTCACTCTGTATTATTAAAAAGATTTTATTGGTGTGACTAGAAGATGATTACACTGATTTTTTAAAATTACTTTTACAAAGAGATGCAAATAAAGATAAAAATAATATAGTGATAACTTAACATCTTTATTTGTAATGCTATTTGTATTTGTTGTAACTCTTTGTAAATGTAATTAAAAAAATAACTTCTATTTAAAACCATTACTTGCTAATGATTTATACCGAATGAATAAATAAAAATGTCAATGCTTTGTTTTTGAACATTGTTCACTTGTTTGAAACCTAAAAAATCACCCTGCATAAAAAAATTAAGTGCTTAAAACAATATTTCCTCCATGTTTTGTAGTAAAAAAGTACCTATACATCCTTAAAACAAGAAAAAAATGCTTGAGAAGCAAAATTGCATTTTAAGAGATTTTAAGATTTGTTTAATTTAAGTAGATCTTAGTAAAGAAATGTCTGCATAGTTTAATATTCATGTGATATAAATATTAGATAGATGGTGTGACTCATGAATGAAATGATGAAATGATCTATTCACTCCACTTCTAAAATGGCATACCATATGATCCATCTTTTCGTTTGTTAGTTTGTTTTATTCTGATTCATGGTTAAATTATGCATATGTTTGTAAGCTGAACAGTTCATTCTAATAGTTGTTTTCAGAAAAAAAATTCAGCATCAGACTTAGCGTGAAACTGAACCGTTTTGGTGTAAAAAATTGTTTCTGAATATTTTACGCATGTCGTTTAGTCGCTTTAGACTTGGCATGAACATGCCTTAACACAGCAGACAGCTGAGAGACAAAGACGGGATGAGAGTAAAGATGTTGTACAGAGAGAAGAGGTCTGCTGTTTGATTAAGAAACCCTTTTACAAGTGCATACCACACATTTTGCTTGTGCTCTGCTTTCACTCATGGCCTCAAGTGATGTAATCTTTTGTGTTTAATAGTATGTGGAGCCTATTTGCAATGGCAAGGACTTGGATAGAGTAAACTAAAGGCTTGAAGTAGAATATATGCTTTCAGTGTTCTGGTCTGTAAGTTAGTTTATGTGTTGGCTTTGTAGGGAGCCAAATGCATGAATTTAAGCTAAATATTATTCAGTTTTTTTTATCAGCAAGATACTGTGGGTCTGTTTCCTAGGCACACACATAATGTATTTTTAATGAAGAATAACTCTTGTTATTGTTTTTTTTTTTGTTATGCTTTAATCTATTTGTTGTGGGTTTGGTTATAGATCTGTATCCTATATCCATGTAGCCCTTAGGAGCTATAAATGAGATATATGAAAAAGTATGTATTTTTTGTTTATTCCAGTAGGAATTATGGAAGCCTTCGCAAAGTAATGTCAACAGGCCAGGAAATGATTTAAAATATCACATTGTCTTTTTGTCACTTACATAAACACAGCACTTCTGTGTTCCAGAGGCTTCTGCTCCTTGTTTCAGTGACTGAAGCATTTGCAATTTACATAACTGTACTCATGCAAGTTTCCATAATTTTTTTGCAGTGTTTTTCATTTCTTTTGTGTGTAGACCTAGATTTTTCAAAACGTAATAACAGAAATTTAAGAAATGGATAGATCTAACAAAGTTGTTCAAAGGTATAAATACATTTTTAAGCTTCCTGAACCGTTTTCATCTAGACAGTTTGTCCTTGTAATATTTAAAATGGCTTATATTGTATAATAATGTATTGCAGCGTGGCTCAGATAGATAGATGGTTTTGTTGCTTTCGACTTTATAATGGCACTAGGCGGGTGTTTTTTTTTTCAACAGTCCAAAAGAAGTCAAATAAAGCGCATCCATCCATAAAAAATGTGCCTCACACAGCTCCATGGGGTGAATAAAGGCCTCCTGTAGCGAATTGATGCGTTTTTATAAGAAAAATATCCATATTTAAAACGTTATAAACACTTTTCTCTCATTTCCACTAACTGTCATACATGCAAGCTATTCCGGGCGGATGACGTAGGACGTATGTGCAGCGCGCGCCTGTGAGATATGTAGAGGTGGAAAGTAACAAATTACATTTACTTGCGTTACTGTAATTGAGTAGCTTTTTTGTGTACTTCTACTTTTTAAAGTTATTTTTAAAATCTGTAATTTTACTTTTACTTAAGTATATTTTGTTTGAAGTATTGTACTTCGCTACATTTTAAAACACATTAATTTTTCAATAAAAATAATCAATAAAAAATTGCTCCCTGGAAACTACTGCAGTAAATAATGGGCAGGAGAACAATCTGGCGCTAAAATCACAAGAAAGATGGAGACGGACAAGACAGGCGTTAGTGGTGCAGACCCAGCTGAAAACGAAACCTTGTCGTATTCTGCTGAAGTTCAACTCGAAGGAAATGAAGTGAACCCCTGGCCATATATTTATGCTCTATTATGCAGTGTAAGCTGTGTTTGCCTAGGGAGACCAAACTAGCAGCTTATAAAATCTCGACATCAACCCTTCACAAGGATGTAGAGGTAAGCTAAATGCTTGCATTGGTGGTTGAAATTAAGCTTTGAAAGTTTAGCAAAAGGTTTTGCACAAATTGGTCAAAAAGATTGTGGTGCAGGGTGTGCGATATATATCGTCTGCGATAATATCGTAATTGTTGTTTTAACGATGTGACATTATCAGTATTTTGCCAAAAACCAAACAAAACACTCCTACAGAGTGCTGTGAAGTCTAGTAGATTAGACTAGTGTGCGCGCGCATTTAGAGTTAGCGCGCGCATTCTTTCACTGCATGATTCAGTCTGTTAAAATGCATTTAGAATGATCACAAAATTGAAGATATAGGGGCAGAAAATGTATATATTTATATCATTTCATATAGTAAATCAATATCACACGAAGAGTGCCGTTTTTTTCCTCCAAAAATCTGCATGATTACATACAGATTTTTTTTTTTACAACAGTTCAATAAACAATAATTAAGAGGCTTGCGTTTTAGACACCATATTGCACAGTGACTTGCTGACACCTACTGGCGGTTTTAATTTCACATTTAAAGTATCTTTTGATTTTGATTTATTTTTTAAAATATAATTTCAAATGAGTATATAATTCAACATTTTTATGTCTTATATATCAAAACATTATTTCTGCATTTAATGTAACTGCAGGTTAAATGCATTCATGTCCTGCATTAAACAGTGTGTCATTTTGTTGATACTGATTTAATTTGCCTGGTAACAGCACAAATGTCTTATTATTCTAAATAACTGATTCCATTAATTAAAAACAACTGGTTTGAGATTTATAGGCCTATCCCAGGGGTGTCAAACTCAGTTCCTGGAGGGCCGCTGCCCTGCAGAGTTTAGTTCCAACCCTGCTCCAACACACATACCATGTAGTTTTCAAATAAGCCTAAATGATTAGATTAGCTGGATCAGATGTGTTTAATTAGGGTTATATCTAAACTGTGCAGGACTGTGGCCCTCCAGGAACTCAGTTTGACACCCTTGGCCTATCCCATTTTTGCCTCCCTCCCACTGTTAAAATATAACTAAGTAATTTTTACTCTGAGTAAATTTGAAACGAGCTACTTTTTACTTTTACTTGAGTCGATTTTTAGACTTGTACTTTTACTTGTACTTAAGTAAAATTTCATTAATGTAATAGTACTTTTACTTGAGTAGAATATTTTCGTACTCTTTCCACCTCTGGAGATATGCTAGTCTCGCGAGTTTGTTTACAGAAGCAAAGGAAGCAAAGTTTCCTTACTTTAGCAAAGGAAAACCAGTCTCCTCTTGGCTTATATCGAAATCCTCCGACATTTTTCTTTACAAATCCTAATTTTGAACTTGTAATTCGTGACCGGCGTTTTTTTTGCTGTCTCTCTTCCGCACTTCCGCGTTCGTCACTAATCACCGCTGCATGCGCTATGCCTACGTCATCCGCCAGAACGGCTTCTGCCTACAACAGTTAGCGGAAGTGAGAGAAAAGTGTTTAAAACGTTTTAAATATGGATATTTTTCTTACAAAAACGCATCGATTCGCTACAGGAGGCCTTTATTCACCCCCTGGAGCCGTGTGAGGCACGTTTTATTATGGATGGATGCATTTTATTTGACTACTTTTGGACTGTTGAAAAAAAAAAACACCCCACCCAGTGCCATTATAAAGCTTGGAAGAGCAAGGACCATTTTTAATATAACTCATTAAAACGTGGGCTAATTTTCATTTTTGGGTGAACTAACCCTTTAAACTTTGAATACATGTGAGTGTACACATCTTAAAAGAATAGTTCACCCAAAAAAGACAATTTTGTCATCATTTACTCACCCTCATGTCGTTCCAAACCTGTATAAGTTTCTTTCTTATGATGAACACAAAATAAGAAATTTTGAAGAACCAAACAGTTGTTGGTACCCATTGACTTACATAGTAGGGAAATAAATACTATGGAAGTCAATGGGGACCATCAACTGTTCGATTACCAACATTCTTCAAAATATCTACTTTTATGTTCAACATAAGAAAGAACCTCATACAGGTTTGGAACGACATAAGGGTGAGTAAATGATGACAAAATTTCATTTTTGGGTGAACTAACCCTTTAATCTTGACATTATTAGAATGACTTTCAAAATAAT